AAAAATAAATCAACAAATTTTATGTAACCAAAATAAAGTCTGTTACTCTTAGGAGCAGGAGCAGTAGCGAAACTACCACAAAAACCACAGACATCAATTTTTCATAATAAATTGAATTCTTATGCATTTTTTATATGCAATTTATTATGTGCGAGTACCAATATATAAACATAATTATATATGCATATCAATACATAAATATATATATATATATGCGGGTATACTCTCATATGCAATATTTTAGATACACTGTAGCTTAATAAAAAATTCATACTGAATTGAGTGTTTAAGTCTTTTGCAGTGTTTGTCAGGCAGGCAGAATGTGCGATTTTTATCTTTTGTTATTTAAAGTCTTATATCCGTTGAGTGACATTATTTTTATGCATTGAATTGTCCCAGTTTCCAGTAGGAGAAGAACGAGAATGAATGTGGGTAAAAATTGGGTGACAAATGTTTGGCTTTGGCATAGGCACCGCATAGCAGTGACACCGACATCGACACCGACACCGCCACTGATATCGCCACCGACGTTTTAGTTTAAATTATCGCCTTTTGTGTCGTTTTGTGTAGCGGAAAATTTGAATTTATTGAAAATTTTCTGTAGATGCGCTCGTAAAGATAAAATTTACGATGTCATTTATTAAAATAATTTTTTACTTTACTTTGCTGCAGGATAAAATTTGTTGTTTTTTTTTTTTGAAATTTTATATTTTAACTTTATATATAGATATAAATTTGAAGTAAATTTTTAATAAAGGTTTTAGCATTTTTATACCTTAAGTAAATAAACACTGCCGATGATGACAATTCCCCTGAGTGACAAAATATTTTAAAATAAATTACGCAGTGAAGGAGGTTGTAAGTACGCTATAAATTAGTTGCAAGATACTTACGCAAAATTGAAAGTTAAACGAGAAAGTAAAAATATTTCAAACAATTAAGCCTCACCTTCTTCACTGCGCTTAAGCTTTCTTTTGATATTATAAGCATTACATAATCTTTTCTGGAAGCATTTATATTAATCATTTTATGCGAAAACAGGTATAATAATTAATCCATTAAATTACATAGTTAATAAATCTTAAATGAGATAATTCCAACCATGGGTTTTGTGACACATTAAAATTGTGTTGGTTGGTAAGATATTTAAGTTTGACTTTGACTACATATATGTACGGTAATATACATATATAATATTAAGTAAAAAAATATTTAACACCATAAAAAAATATATATCATGTTATAATACTGTATGATGTACATTTATTATATAATTTAAAATATATTTGAATTAAAACGATGGAGAGAAATATTCAATATCATGTGTTTTTAGTTAAAATCAATTCTTTTAAAGTTTTGAAAAAGCTGTAGAGTCAATTATTCTCTAATGAATACAGTATTTATATAAATTTAATTAAATATTCGTTCTGATAAATCGAAAGGACTTTTAGGGTTCAGCAAACCTGCAGTTCTTGTACTTACTGCAGTACTAACAGGGCACTGTTTATTTATTCCGCTTATGCTCTAATGTAGGTGAGTTCCAACAAGTGAATTGTGCACGAGTTGCCAAGATGAAAAGGAGGTAGAATCTATCAACCACTTTTTGTGTCTCTGTTTAGTAAATGCGGGGTAAATACCCATTGACTATGTTAGGGGTTTTTTTTTGAGGATCTTGGTCAACTACAGGACCTCTCTCTAAGGAACATTGCAGACTTTGTCAAAGGTTCAGGGGTTCAAAGGTTTTTTCAAATAAAAAAAAGGTTCAAGATGGTTATTAATTCTCTGAGTTTTTATATGGTACTTTTGGCGCACAATATGCCGATAAAACTTAACCTAACTTTAAATGCTTAAAAACAAGACGGTAAAAATATTAGTTTTATTATTTAAACATTATTTTCCTTAAAGACTTTGTTTAAACCTCTCCGGTTATATATGAATTTTATGTCGGCGGCTTACGAAACACACGATAATCCCTTGCAAAATTTATTGTTCAACACTTAAGCTTAAAAGTGTCGACTTGGAAATGAAATAGCAACACACCTATGGTATATACAATAAATTTATAACATAAGGTTTAAGTGTTGCCATATAGTTTAGTTCCCATATTTATCACCACATATGAAGACTTTACCTGCTTTATTGTTACTTTCATCTTTGGAAAGAAAGTTGCATTGCAAATCTGATGCATCTTGCACTTTACTGCCTTTTTGTACTGCCAAACACAACAGTTGAGTTGTTATTTATTATTTAAATCCTAAAAAAGTATTCAAATAAATATGACTATTTTATTTCTTACTACATTGTGGTAAATACTTGTACTGCGTGGCTTACCACATAAAAGAATTGTTGCAAATTTTTGCAATTTTGTTAGAATTTTTTATATGTCTAAGAGTACAAGAAAAAAACAAAATATAAATTGTTAAAATAAAAAATAGTAAAATCTTTACTTCTATTTTAAATATATTTTTACTATTTTTATATGGAAGTATATTTATTTTTATAAAAATTTTTATTTTATTTCTAAAGAACTGGAGAACTGTCAAGAGCATTTGTTGGAGTTGCAGTAAAAAATGTATTTACAGTTCAATTGTTGCCATTTGTGCAATTTTATGTACGAAACAATAAAAAGGATATAAAGAATAGCTGTGATTTTATTTAATTTTTTTATTTTGCATTTTGATTTTAAAAGGCATTAAAATATTGTTTTGTGGTTTGAAATTTCATTTTGATAAACAATTTTTGACTACCAGCAACACAATGGCGTCAAACGAAACTACTCTGTACATATAAATGCAAAAATAGCTTGAAAATAACCCAGTGGAAAATTACTTTTCTTTTTGATTTAGGATAGAAAGCTTTTATCAATAATATTTTTACAAGTATATTAAATATTAGTCTATATAGTTAAACTATTTAAATAAATTACAGTCTAAACTAGTTAGAACGACATAACAGGGATCGACTCAATCTAGTTGGTATAACCGAAAATCACTATTAGTATAAATCAAAAGACTAAAGATTATAATCATATTCATAGAAGTACGTTATTATTTAAAATCCATTTATATCATTAAATTTCCATAGTAATTAATTACAGATAATTTATTTATTTAAAACAGTACATTTATATATTTTGCATATTCGTATTTACATATTATTTCTCCACTAGGAAAAATAACCCGTAATTTCTGTTTAGTTGTTTTATTTGGAATAGATACATATATTCTGCATTATAATAATAATAGGTTATACTTTCAAAATAAAATTATTAGTGAAGTGCTGTTGATGTTTTGGGTATGGAAACGTTGAAGATGATGGAATATTTCCTTCAATATTATCTATTTTTATGCACTTATCTGTCTAATTTCTTAAATGCAGACAGATTATTTGTTAAAGGTTATAATATGTCTTCTAATACTTTAAAGAAAAGAGTTTTGTTAGCTCGATCGTTATAGGAAAAGAAATGAATGGGGTTCTAGCTCCCACGGAATGGAGTACTGTGACCATGATTGATCTTTTTCAGAAGACATTCCGCCTTCTGAATGAAAGCTAAAATGTCGGCCCTTGAGGACCTTTTAATCTCAAGAGAAGTAGTTCTCGACCCAGTGACCTACTTCTGGCCCAGATCAAGGCTGGGCAGTCACATCGAATGTGACTAGAACTCTCGTCTACTTTTAAACAGAGTCGGCAATTTATCTTTTCGGACAGACTTATTATGTTAAGGTGGTAACGCAGTCCAAAGATACCTTACCATAACTGTAGGGGTGAATCAGCTATTTAGTCTGACTGTCACCTCGACGTCGCGCCAGTAGCGACTTCTCTCGGCTAAAAACCATCGTTATAACTAAGCTCGATCGTTGAACGGGGTTGATATACTAAGCCAGAACCTATGCTGTGATATTGGGCCAGCATTTAACAATACTTAGCGCTATGTTATGCAAACAGTCATGATCATGTCAAATGCGTTTATGTTATTGTTAATTCAGTTTAATTCAATTAATTAAAACAAAGTTTTTATTAAATACTTCCTTCCTCAGTGTAAGACATATGACAAATATAATCTAATTTGGTAATTTCTTTTGTGGGAAATTTATTTTTGAGGGTTGCATTCGGAATTTTTAGTATAATTTTCTGTACTTTATTTTTAAGTAAGTTGAAAAGTTCGGAAGCTTTTTGTAAAGTTACACTTACTAAGTAAGTGTAACTATAAGTACTATAAGAGACTTTAACAAAATGGATGTGCTTAATTTGAGAACCACAGTACTAGATCATGAAAAAGGTGACGTATTGGTAGTGGAGGCTTTGATTCACAAAGTGTTCTGTTATATTGATATATGTATATAAAATTAATATTTTAATTTTTTTTAACATATATATTTTCCTATTGGGATATTTGTAGCAAAGCTGACATATTGCATATTGCAACTTTTTGTATAACTCAATATATAATTTTATTTTATACATTTTTCCAACAAATGCATTTCTGAATTATTAAAGTGAATACTGTGGTTAGCTATAATTTTAATATATTCTCTTGCATTCTTTGTGTGGTTGCAGTTATGCTATACGTACGTTATATATTTATAACTATTAAAAAAAGAATAAAACTATTAAAAACTATTAAAAAATAATACAGGAAATTATTGTGATAAAAAATGTTAATATTACTGTTTGAATTTATGAGGTAACAATTTAAGTAGCAATTTTATTTAAATTTTTAATACAATTTATTAACGTTATTTTTTAGTTAAAGTAGTAAATTTAAATTTAAATTTAATTTAGTTACTCAAATTCTGAATTGAAGCATTAACTCAATTTTTTAATTTAATTTCATTAAATTTTTATTAAAAGCAGTAGTGATT